GGAAAGTAAGTTCAGTTCATTGTACAGTATATCACCTGACGAAGCTACTGTGTTAGCGAAACATGTCGTGTGTTCGAGAATTCCGTGGAAATCTTATAGTTTGTGAAGTTTTTACATTTAAGCTGAGACAGCTTGAACTTGATGTAGAACCTGAGCATAAATAAGAAAACATTACTCCAGGAGTGGGATTCAGCGAGGGAAGCAAGATAAATTCAGTCGGGGGAGTTTCAAACCTATATCAACATTCATTATTGTATAATATGATATATCACCTACGAAAGATGTCTCGAAACACTTATACTGTGACAGCTTCAGTGTGATGCACACCCTGACCACAGTTACCAATTCTCTCAAGATGAGGGACTTTCTGATGAAGATGAATAGTCCGACATATGAAGGAAGTCTCGTGATTTCCGTTTTATGCGCTGGCCAGAAACTATATCATAGTGACCATCAAAAGTGCAATCAATCCGTTTGACATCATTTTCAGAACGTTAATTGGCTGGCTCCAATCATTTTATATGGACCGAAGAGCGTTCTTTTTTCGCGAAACAAACTGTCCAAGATGTAAGATGATTACGACTTTATTTCTTTCTTTTTAAGTTCTGGTTCCCACGAAGAGGAATATCCTGTAATGTTCAGAAAAACATCGTGAGAACCAATGGATGGTAGGAATTGGTGTTCTTCTCGAATTTCTGGAGGTTATATGCCTTGGGGAACATCTCCTTTGGCAATGTGTTCCAGAGCCTCACTGTTCGTTGGATAAACGAGTCTTTGGAAAGAGATGTTCTGCAGGTCTCCAAAGTGACCACGAAGGAGTGCGAAGCCTCAATTCGACGGGTTAATCTCGCGGGGACTGCCAAGGAAGGAACCAAAACAACAACAGATGCCTTACCCTAATCAGTTACGACAGATCAAGTCTGCGATAGCTTGAGCTGGAGCACGGTTATAGATGGGAAAATCTTTTCAGAAGTTGGATTTTGTGAGATATGTAAGAGGAATGAGAGATAATGGAGAATCATCGATATCTCACCACATAGATGAGCATCGATAGCTTGGGCTGAATCTTTCTAGAAGTGGCACTTTGCAAGAAATGCATGACGAATTTCAAGATAAAACCTTAAAACATCGATGTGCTGCGATAATTTGAGCATCATACAAACCCTGAGCAAATCTGAATTGTTGACCACGGGCCTCACCAGCTTGATGTAGTTGAATAGAGAATCGTCGTAAAGCCTTTAGGCGCCGAAATTAAGTGTGAAATTCGCGAGATATACGAATTGAGAAAGATTGATAATTCTTACGCTATAAAAACAATTTAGAGTCTCATATGACATCAAGAACATTCTTCATCGATATAGTGAGAATATAAATATCTCTCTTCACAGAGTTGATGATATTTCAAGAAATTTTGTTAATAATGAAGATGAACTTCCTTTGAATCACAAATCAAGAGTTCATTGTATTTCTTGCTCGGATCCAAATTACAATAATGCTCAATATGTTGGACAAAGTGCTGGAAAAATTCCAACCAGAGTTACAGAACATGTAAAGATCATTGAAGAATCCAAGAATACATAATCATAATAATAAAAATGATAATAATATAATAATCTTCATTCAAATGGAAAATCCCAATTCACAAGTATTAATAATAATAGTAATACATACAAAATAATATATGGAACATAATATAGATGATGAAAATTGAAATGAATGAAATGTTAATTCAACAGAGTACAATGAATATTTCATATATTATAATGAATATCTATGCCTTCTTGGAAAGACCCAAATCTCCATTCAAAATACTCAATTATAATTCATATTTACTAAACCATAATGATACTTTCGGGTCTCTCTTTGAAAACATGGATTGTAGGACTCGATCTGATTTCCATGGGCATTTTATTATGATCAACTGAACCTTAGTGAAATAATGAATTTATAGTCCCCTTCAATCTTGTACGATTGATATGGAAATCATATCTACCTCTTCTTTCATCGTTGTGAATTTGATGATTGAAAGTTATGAGATCTTCTGAGTATGTCGGAAAATCACAATGTACTACTTTGTAAATAAATATCAAAGAGATGAATATGATATCAAAAGTTCATTCGCAAACCAGATTCTGAATTCACGCCATAGTTTTGATCGTAATCAGGACCTTGAAATTATATATGTCTTTCCAAAAGGTAGGATATTGAGTTTCCTGGGAAATTTCGAAATCAACTCTTCCATGAATTATAATTCTATCTTGTCTCTTAATGAACAAGCACATTCTGACTGTATTAAATTTTTCAATGTTCTGGATTCTGATCGCTGTTAGTTTACCTACCTTGGTATCAACTCTCATTTCGTGATATATTCATAGATACTGGTTTTCGAGTTTGCTCAACTCTTTCCTACATGCATACCCTCTCCTACCTCCACATTCCTCAAATAGTTGTATCAGCTATTGTTACATGTGCCCATTGTCAGATTTTCATGTTCTGTCCCTTGACATTGACTTTGACTCATGTCAACGTCTTATCTACGTCATTATTCGACATCATTTGCAGTGTTTTTCAACCCAGTTTAGAGTTGAACAGTTGCTGGCTGTTTGGCCCATCAATTTTATTGATATATTCTTTTACAAGCGCTTTCATAAGGGCACGGGGAGCCCCTTTTTTCAAACCCGTTAATTTATGGTGTCAAGAAAACAAAACCTTTCGGCAATTACCATTCATATACCATTTTGGTATATGAGATTCCGATAAGATGAATTGTATGCGCTCTCAAGGCACGGGGCCATTCATTCATTGAGAACCCCTTCTTTCATTTATAAACTCGATTATTCGACTATGGGCACTAACACCAGTTTCACAACTAGTTGCATCACATTTCGAGTCTGTATCTAGATTTATTCTATGATATGGCTATCTGGAAGATGTCTCACCACACACTTGCCATTTTATGCGCTTGCCAGATACTAAAGTGACAAATGAAAGTTCAACCAATCACTTCTTCACCTTTCAGAATGACATCATTTTCAGAACGGGAAGTGGCTATAGCTTCCATCGCTTTTATGTATAGACCAAAGAACGCTTTTCTTTGGGTTAAATACATACCCTGAGCACAGTTACAGGTAGGCAAATCCCTTCAGAAGTGGAATTTTGTGAAAAATGCAAGACGAATAGAAAATCTCCTCATAAAATCGACACCTCACCACATCAATGAGCCGCGACAGCTTGAGCTGAATCCTCTCAGGAGTAGAATTTCGTAACAAATGCAATGCATTGAAATAAATGAGAAATTTCTCAAATATATCCTCACCACATCGATGAGCTGCGACAACTTGAGCTTGATGCACACCCTGAGCACATCCGAAGTGTCGACCACTGGCCTCACCAGCTTGTTGTAGTTGAACAACAAATCGTCGTAGAGCCTTTTGACGTCGTCGAAATTGAGTGTGACATTCGCAAGATACACGAATCGAAAAATATGGATAGATGAGTTTGACGCTATAAAAACAACTTCGAAAATGCTCCATCACATAGAGGAACTGAGACTTTTGCTGAGACATCTCAAACTTGATATAGGTGAATTCTGAGCATGAGTAACGAGATATTCTGCTGAGAGATAATTTCAAGTATAAATCTAGATTTATTTTATAACATGGCCATCTGAAAGATGTCCCACCACACTTACTGTGACAGCTTGAGTTTGATAATGTTTGGTGAACACCATGAGCACACTTACCCTATTGAAAAGTAGGATTCACAGGAAAATGCAGAATATACTCCGATTCCTGGAAGAATTCTGGATACTCGACATTTTATGCGCTGTCCAGATACTATAGTGACCAATGAAAGTTCAATCAAAAACTTTTTCATCTTTCAGAATGACATTATTTTCAGAACGGGACGTGGCTGGCTTCAATCACTTTTTATGTATATACCAAAGAACAATCTTTTTTGGGTTAAATACATACCCTGAGTACAGTTACAGGTAGGCGAATCTCTTCAGAAGTGGGATTTTGTAAGAAATGCAAGACGAATTGAAAATCTCCAGATAAAATTGACACCTCACCACATCAATGAGCAGCGATAGCTTGAGCTATATCTTCTCAGAAGTATACAGATGGAAAAAATGGAAAATGTCAAGACTCCTTACCATATCGATGAGTTGCGACAACTTGATAGCTTGATGCACACCATAAGCTCATCCGAAGTGTTGACCACTGGCCTCACCAGCTTGTTGTAGTTGGACAGCAAATCGCCGTAGAGCCTTTTGGCGAAATTAGGTGTTTAATTCGCAAGATACACGAATTGAAGAAAATGGATAATTTTGGAGCTATTGAAACAACTCAGAAAATGCCTCATCACATAGATGAGCCTAGACCTTGGCTGAGACAGCTCTAGCTTGAATCAGGTACACCCTGAGCATAAGTAACAAAATATTCTGCTGAGAGATAATTTCAATTCTATATCTACTAGATTTATTGTGTAATATGGCGATCCGAAAGATGTCTCACTACACCTATTATTACAGCTTGGGTTTGATCATGTTTGATGAACACCTTGAGCACAGTTGTTCCTTTCTCAAGAAGTAGAATTTTTTATGGAATGCAAAATAAACTGCAATTTCTGAAAGAAGTCTGAAAACTCGACATTTTATGCGATGTCCAGATACTATAATGACCAATGAAAGTTCACTTTTCCACCTTTCAGAATGACATTATTCTCTGAACGGAAAGTGGATAGCTTCAATCGCTTTATATAGTCTGGAGAACGATTTTCTTCGGGTTAAATACACACCCTGAGCACAGATACAGGTTGGCGAATCTCTTCATGAGTAGGTTTTTGTAAGAAATGCACTATGTATGGAAAATCTACACATTGCTGCGACCCCTCACCAAATGAAAGAGCTGCGACAGCTAGAAGTAATTTTCAGAAGTGGGATTTCGTAAGAAATTCAATGCAATACAGATGGGAAAATGGGAAATTTCAAGACTCAATCATATTCTTACCACATCGATGAGCTGCGACAACTTGAGCTTGATGCACACCCTGAGCACATCCGAAGTGTTGACCACTGGCCTCACCAGCTTGTTGTAGTTGGACAGCAAATCGTCGTAGAGCCTTTTGGCGTCGGGGTTGCCTGCCACAGCCTGGTGAACCACCAGCGCCGAGAGCAACCACGCGCGCAGCGTATCGACGGCGGAGGGCATCGCGACGCTGAGTCGACGCTCCGACGACAGGCCGACGCTGGACTGGCGAGAGAGTCGGCTTGTGCCTGTGGGGCTGTATTCTCCCGGAGCACGCGAAATTGTCGAGTCGTCTCTCTTTTCGTGCAGGGATGGATTCGCTCAATAATCCAGTTGACCTGGCGTTCCCTAACAACACGGGATCTTTCTGGTACATCCCGCTAAGGTCCTACAAATGTCCCAATGTTTCAGACTCAGGTACGATATCCCAGAGATGTTTCTCTTGGGACATCCATCAGATGTTTTCATTGTATGTTCTAGAAACATCCCATTCGATCTTTTTTTATGAACAATACCATGGTTCCATATTTGCTAATGATGATTGACATGATTGAACAGTTCAAACAATTGTGACATTTGAAACATTGGAAAGTTGGTAAGAAATGGAAATAAAAACTGTATTCGTACTCATATACTTATACCTATACCAACACCGGCTAATCTCATCGATAACAAATTGAAATAATTATACTAAATATACCTCAATAAGATTACGAAAGTACCTGCTTAACTTCATGAACCATGTAATAAACGATAAAATTGAAATATATCTCTTCAGCATATTTATTGCTGAATTTATTTGTTATATCAGCCGATAGATGGCGGTACAACTACGTTGCTAAGAGTTACTAACAGCCGTCGGCCCAGCGTCAACAAATATGAGTCTCAAACAACTGTTATCATCTATTGGACCGCACCGACCTTATATATTCGGACTCGGATTGTTACTTTATATCTGGAAATAGGTCGGCCATTTTCAGGATATCAGACTGAAAATAATGCATACCGTGTCATCCATTACTGTCATCAAACAAAACACATCCTAAAAGCCTCTTTAAGATGTTCCATATCAAGTACCTTGAATGTCTCTGGTACATCCCGTATCATCCCACAAACATTCTGATGGGATGTTTATAAGACATCGCAAATGCTAACACGGGTGTTGCTAGCAACATCCCAAGAATGTCCCAAGGAAAATAGGGATTTTCCAGAGATGTTCCTATCATCCCATATGGATGTTTCTACGATGTCTTACAGATGTAATTGTGTTATTAGGGTTGGTGAGGTGACCGAATTGATCTCCATTGGTGATGGGGAATGTAGAAAACCCCAGTATATTAATCGTTTTGAAATCCAGATATTCTTCATTTCGACTTCGAATATTATGTTTCTTGCAGATACAGTATTTTCTGAAGACTTGAATTTTGTTTTCCTTGTTCTGAATGTATGATAAACTGATATCCATCATACAGGACGTGGAAAGGAATTCTAAGATGAAAATTATGTATATCATGAGGAATGGCTGAAAGAATAACTGAGCTTCAGGTTACTGATGGGGATTTGATATCCGAAATGAGTTGATTCAAGTGGAGTTATATAACCTGTTGTTTTTTTTTAGCTTGGAGCGCACGAAAGGGAATCCCTATAATGTTCAAAGAACATCGTGCGTTCCTAGGAAGGATAGGGACAGGAGGTAGGTATTGGAATTTTTTTTGAACTTCTGGAGATTATATGTTGTTGGAAATACTTCCACAGGCAATGAATTCCAGAGCCTAGCCGTTCTGTGGAAGAAGGAATCTTGATGAAGTGCTGTTCGACATCTTTCGAGGCTGACAACGAAAGGATGTGCTGACTGGGCTTGTCTAGTTCGTCTGATTGGTATTGCTAGTGAAAGGATGATAGCAGAGATTTCCGAAGAACATTCCCCGTGGAAGTATCGGTAGAAAAGTGCAAGGTCGTCGACCTTTCTACGGTGTTCCAATGATGCCGAAGAGCGAGTGAGTGTGGCGTCACTTACCAGGCAAATGGCTCTTCTCTGGATGGAATCTAAGAGCATCAGCGTATGTTTTGGTGCTGAAGCCCATATGTGGGGACAGTATTCCAGAACAGGCCGTATCTGCCGTTTACCTCAAATTTACCAATATGGAGAAAAAACTGGAATTAATTCAGAAGACGAGAATAGGGATATTAAGGTATCCTGACGAATAGGTCGAGGAAACAATTAGGTAAAATTGCCCTATTTCTAGTCGGATAGTGATCTGAGATTTCTACAGGGTTTATCGTCATTTGGTTGGGTTTGGAAAACGTATTTCACGATCGACTTTATTTACTTATCTACGTGTGGAGACTTAGGAGTTTATGAACATGGCGTTCAAATGAAAACTTGATAGTAGTGGAAGGTGTTGATGAACTGCACGTTGTTCAGCTTATTTGAGGTTGTTGTGTATCGTTATTCAACCCGCGATGCAATATGTATTGTGATAATGTTGATTTCACTCATGTAAAATTAGTGAGTCCACGAAATTATTGGATTTGTAGAGGAAAACTGGATGATATTTTTTGTGTTTTCGAATTTTTTCTCAACAATTCCATCTAAAATTGAATCAAATGGTAGAGTATCAGTAGATATGCAGTAGATTATTATCATTTGTACTCAGGTAGATAGCAATGGGCGTGTACACCTTTAGTAGAACTTTCAACTCACACCATGTTTATAATGATCCTTTTATACATGAATAATGATTGACGACATAATTCGATCGAAGAATTAACTGGAATATTTTATTTTTGAACAAAAATAATAGTACCTTCTGAAAACGGACCCTCTCAAGACGTAGAAACCTCATCTCGCCATAGTTGAAAGAAAATACCAAACGCCCGACGGAGACTGAGGCAACTGGTATATTAATTCTTTCAACTGTGATCTCGCGCTAATTCACTCTGTCAGAAATCATGTATCATTCATTTCTGTCTGGAATAGTCTTGTTTCAGTATTGGGGTTTTGACGTCACATCATCGCCTCGTTTTCAGAGGTCCGAAAAATCAGGGATTTCAATAATTTTTTATAAAACGTAGGGGGCACACAGCAAGAAACGGTTTGCGGTGGTGAGCTAGTTTGGGTGAGTTCTATCGAATTATGAAATAAAATTTTTTTGTGATATAAGCCCATTGCCCTAAGGCAGTTTAATAAAATTTTTGACAAATGTGGCTCAGAGATTTTACTAAAATAACCCACTAGAAAGTGTTTAAATTCACAATTCACAAACAAGAATACGACTTTGTGATTACAATTTATCTATAATCTGAATTATTTCTGGAATTATTTCATTCTAAACATAAGATGATAGTGTTGATTATGTATCCTAGTTGAGAGATTGAAAAAGTGTACAGCAGATTTTCGGAAAACTAACTTTTGAACTCTTGAAGTCTACCTTTTGGAGAGAAACAGAAAAATTCTCGAAAACACAGGTGAAGGGAAACATCTCAATGGTACATAGGGGTCATCAAGGTGGTTCTGAAAATACGATATTTGATAGGTCTTAGAATCCTCATAACGGAGATACAGGGCGATTTATAGAATTCGAATGATTATTCATTCGTTTATAAGTGTCGAATTACCCAGTATATTTTCCTCCAATTTGGTATGGAGCTTATACTTGGGACGTTGAATTTATTCACCTATCGGGCGAAGTGGAAGTCCAGGTTCGGCTTCAGGAAAAATTTACATTTATTCGAAATATTAAATTTAAAATTAAATTAAAGTTGAAAGTATGTCAATTTGAAGAATATTAAAATTATGAAACCAGTTCTAATTATGATTATTTGATATATTTTAGTAAAATGATAGCTCTAAATAACTTACTACTAAGTATCACGGAGATACAGGGTGATTTATCAGTTTCGAATAATTATTCACACGTCCATAGGTATTGAACTACCCAGTAATATTTTCTCAAAATTTGGTATGGACCTTACATTTGGGAAGTTGGATTCATTGGCCTATCAGGCGGAATGGAAATACACGTTCAGCTTCAGGAAAAGTCTCACAGTATTTATAACGGAGGTACAGGGTGAATTATCGAATTATAATTATTTGATATCTTCTAGTTGAATAATCGCTAGAAGTATCAAATCCGATTCAATTTTTTCTTCCGTTCACCATTGTTTTTTTGATGAACTCTGTCAATTATTGAATACAGTGTGTTTTTTTTATATTTCGAATGAATGTAAATTTATCTTGAAGCCTAGCCTGTATTTCCATTCCGCCCGATAGGTCAATGAATCCAACGTCCCAAGTAAGCTCCGTACCAAATTTGAGGAAATATTACTGCCTAGTTTGATACTTATGGACGAGTAAATGATTATTCGAAACCGATAATTCACCCTGTATCTCTGATATAAAGACAGTGAGACTTAGTAAGTTCTTTCGAACGATCATTAAACTAAAATATATCAAATAATCATAATTTAAACTGGATTTATAATTTGGATACTCTTCAAATTGACATACCTACTTTTAACTTTCTGTTTGAGATTGTTACGATGCGAATTGGTGGCGGAAAAACAAAAAGCATCAATGAACTAGTTGCGGTAATGACTTTGAGTTTCTCTCTTTGTGACCATTGCATTCCACTTTGAGTATTTGGCTTTTTTCCCTAGTTGAGAAAGCATCAAATCCAATTCAGTTTTTCCTCCTCTTCACGATTCCTTCGATGAACTCTGTTAGTTATTACATACAGTGTGTTATTTTAATATTTCGAATAAATGTAAATTTTTCCTGAATTAAGCCGAACCTGGATTTTCTCTCCGCCCGATAGGTGAATAATTTCAACGTCCCACGTTAAAGATCCATACCAAAATCGAGAAAAATATACCGGGTAGTTCAATACTTATAGACGAATGAATAATTATTCGAAATTGATAAATCACCCTGAATTTTCAGAACCACCCTGGTGACTCCTATGTACCACTGAAATATTTCACTTTACCTGTGAAACACCCTGTGTATTTTTTTTTTGTTCATAAATATATCTGAGTATGTTCCTTCTCAACACACCGAAGTTATTTGGGGAATTTAATTTTTGAGAGTCATAACCCTGCGTACTACAATGACACTCATTGTAATTCCAGTATTGAAACAGAAAATGTTTTTCATACGAAAACCACTATTGGACATAGAAGATTGAATGCCAGATGACAAAAGTAATAAGCGTTCGGCGTTTCGA